AAAGAAAAAAAGAAAAAAAGGTATAACTAAATGTAACTAGTTCAAAACTAGCTCTCCTCAGTGACATCCTTATATCTCTGTGTATCTTCTTACACACTCTATGCACATGCAAGGACAGATAAAGATATGCATCCTCCTATTCCACATTTCTTTTAAACACAAATGGTGGGGCTGGGGATGTGGCTCAAGCGGTAGCATGCTCGCTTGGCATTCGTGCGGCCCGGGTTCGATCCTCAGCACCACATACAAACAAAGATGTTGTGTCCGCCAAAAACTAAAAAATAAATATTAAAATTCTCTCTCTTAAAAAAAAAACAAAAAACACAAATGGTAGCAACACCATTACACCCTGTTTTGAGCTTCACTTTTATAACACTATATCTTGAATTTTGTTATATGTCAGTACATAAAAAGCTGTTTGTTTTTTGAGACAAGGTGTTGCTGTGCTGCCTAGGATGATCTTCAACCCCTGGATTGAATGATGATCCTCTGACATTAACCTCCACTACACATGGCTACATTAAGTAGTTTTTTGTTATTTTTCTTTTCTGTGGTGCTGGGGATTGAATCCATGACCTCACACACACTCAGCAACCCTATATTACCCAGCTACATCTCCATCCCTCCCTCATTCATCTTTTTAAATTTTATTTTTGTAGTTGTAGATGGTCAGCATGCCTTTATTTTACTTGCTTATTTTTTGTATGTGGTGCTGAGGATCAAATCCAGTGCCTCACTCGTGCTAGGCAAGTGTTCTGCCACTGGGCCACAACCCCAGCCCTCCCCCATTCATTTTATAGCTGCATAATATTTTGCATGGCTGTACCAGGCTTTTATGAACCCATCTCCTATATATAGAATATAGACTATTTTGGTCCTTTTACCACAAGGAGCTTCACTGCAATGAATACCCTTATGTCACTCTGTACATTTGTATGTCTTATAATACATTCCTCAAAATAGAAATGCTGGGTCTTTAAAATAACTCCTCAAAAAGAGTACCAATTTATTTCCTGCTCCAACACTTACCAGTGTCTGTTACCCTATCACAGGTCAACACAGTTACAATCAGGCTTTTGTGTGTGTATGTGTGTGTGTGGTACATTGGACCAAAGTCATGTCTTTGTGTATAAGAGGAAAGTGCTCTACCACTGAGCTACATCTCCAGCCCTATTATCAGACTTTTTGATCTGAGCAGAAAAGGTATTTTGTTGCAATTTTAATTTTCATCTTCTTTTTTTTTTTTTTTTTAACCTTGGTTTTGTTTATTTATTTTCATGTGATGCTGAGGATCGAACCCAGTGCCTCACACGTGCAAGGCAAGCACTCTACCCCATCCCTAATTTTCACCTTCTTAAAAATGAATGTTATTGAGCATATTTAATTTTTCAGAGACAGATTTATTTGGAAAGCAGATACATATTCAAGGGAGAATGAGGATATATAAATGTGGGGGAGGGAATCTTTTGGATGAAGAAAGACATGCACATTCAAGGGATAATGCTGGCCATCTTGAGGGTGAAAAGTATGGGGATAAAGAAAGGAAAAACATGTTAAAGAAAGAACGCAGGGCCATCTTCAGAGGGAGCTAGCCTGAGCCTGAGCATCTCTCTCTCTCTCTTTTTTTTTTTTTTTGGTTCTGGGGATTGAACCCAGAGGCTTTACTACTAAGCTATACCACCATCCCTTTTAAATTTTTATTTTGTGGCAGTCTTGCTAAATTGCCCAGGCTGGCCTCCAGCCTATGATTCTCCTGCCTCAGCCTTTTGAGTAGCTGGGATTACAGGTGTAGCTCAAACTCATCCTAGAGCCATGGGGCAGGGGGTCCCAAGTCTGTAAACTGATAAGCAACACCTGCAAGACTGGACTATCTGGAGCTGAGGCTGTAACTCAGTGGTAGAGAATGTACTTCACATGCACAAGGTCCTGGATTCCATGACCAGCCCCCAAATAAATAAATAAATAGGCACATCTGTGAACATGACAAAGAGGCAAGTCTTTGGGGGTTGCTTCTATCCTCTGACTTCATTAGTGTTCCATTCTTATTCAGAGAAACAGAGAAGCCATGGGACTAACATTCGCAACATCCTTTACTGCCAGCTGAACAACTTCATGTCAAGCTCTATCATAATTTTAAAAACTGAATTCTCTCATTCCAATACAACTAATTCTATGAAGCTAGTATCATCACCAAACATAAGTTGTTTTGTGATTTCTCCAGTACACTTTACTTTTTTGGAGGGGTAACCAGGAATTGAACTCGGGGCACTTGACCACTGAGTCACATCCCCACCCCATTTTGTATTTTTTTTTAATGATTTTTTTTTTTGAGAGAGAGAGAGAATTTTTAATATTTATTTTTTTAGTTTTTGGCGGACACAATATCTTTGTTTGTATGTGGTGCTGAGGATTGAACCTGGGCCGCACGCATGCCAGGCGAGCACGCTACTGCTTGAGCCACATCCCCAGCACCCCCATTTTGTATTTTATTTAGAGTCAGGGTCTCACTGAATTGCTTAGCAACTTGCTTTTGCTGAGGTTGGCTTTGAACTCATGATGCTCCTGCCTCAGCCGCCAGGGCGGCTGCAATTAAAGGTGTGCGCATGGCTCCAGTACATTTTACTGTGTGTTCAGTTTTATAGAATGTAACTATCCTGTATTTCAACACTTGCATTTGTAACATTCATAAATATCAATCCATAAGTAACTACGGTAAAACTGTCACCTGACAGGGGTCCAAGGAAGTCCCTCCAAAGGAAAGGGGATCTCAATTGGGCCTGGGCAGGTTCTTGATGGCTTCTGGAGAAGAATTTCAGGACATTTGAGAAAGTGAAGCACAAGCAAAGATTTTTTTTTTTTAAATATTTTCTTCTTTGTATTTTTATATCTTTTATTTATTTATTTATTTTTATGTGATGCTGAGGATCGAACCCAGCGCCTCGCACGTGTTAGGTAAGTGCTGTACCGCTGAGCCACAGTCCCAGCCCCACAAGCAAAGATTTTTGTTTCTTTTTGGTGGTGCTGGGGATCCAACCAGGACCTCACAGCTACACCAGTTACCTCACAAGCAAAGATTTATTGAAGGCCACAACAAAAGAGTGCACAAAGAGTGTGGGCACTCCATTCTTCTTAGAGAAGACAAGACAGGTGACATGCTCAGGGTTAAGCTCTCTGATTATATACATAGGACTTTTCAGGGAACAAATGTGCAGGTTCTCGGACAAGCTTCTTGAAAATAAAATTCCACGACAATCATTCTGTACTTGGGGTTCAGAATAGTCCTCTTTGATCAACAGTCTACCCATAAATGATTCGTGGACACATTGTGTAAATCTTTGAATCTGATGACATTTAAATAAATACTATATTTTTGTTCTAGTTGATCTGTTACAAGTTGAAGGTTTTGTTCATCTAACTAAAAGGACAAGTCATGCTTCTAGATCTGGCTCCCCACCTACTAACCGTCTTTTTTTCTCTTTTTTTTTTTTTTAAAGAGAGAGAGGATTTTTAATATTTGATTTTTAGTTTTCAGCGGACGCAACATCTTTGTTTGTATGTGGTGCTGAGGATCCAACCTGGGCCGCACGCATGCCAGGCAAGTGCCATACGGCTTGAGCCACATCCCCAGCCCCTCTTTTTCTCTTTCTCCAAGAACCTACTCATCTCAAAACAAGGACCAAGTTGCTTGTCCTCAGAATGACAATCATATTTTTCTCATGGGCTCACACAATATATATGCCATGCTTTTTGTGTCCTAGAGATAAGCAAGTTGGGTAACCACCTACCTGGCTCCAAAAAAGAACAAACTGGAACCAGGCAAGACCAGTTTCTGCCCTCTCACCCCCCAACTCATTCCCATTCTTCTGTAATGCACTACAAAAGGTCTGTCAACACCATTTTGGTCAGAACTGCTTTCTACCCAGACCATAACCAGTCCACATAAAGGAAAAAAAAAAAGGTGAATCCCCATTTTCATAAAGTGCCCACCCCCTCTCCAAGAAAAAGTCATAAATAAAATAATCCTCCCTTTTGTTAACGAAGACTTCTTTTTTCACAGGTAAAACGCTAAATCAAGCCCTGACCTTAAGGGATTCATGTATGATATTGCAAACTTGTCTGCCAGCTTCAGCGACTTAGCGAGGCCCTAAGCAATTTAGTGAGACCCTGTGTCAAAACATAAAAGGTCTGGAGATGTGGCTTAGTGGTTAAGCACCCCTGGGTTTTAATCCGTTACCCCCTGCCTCTGAAAGAAATGGGGGAGGAGGGAAACAAACCAAAACCCAAAGTGCAGATAATAAAAGCATTTTCTCACAGAGTTGTAGAGAGGATTACAAGAGATAATGCATGAAAAGATCTTAGCACAATGCCTGGCGGAGGATAAAGTAGCTCTAAAGGTATTCCTGTGTAAACGTGGAACCAATGAATAAAAGAAATAAAATTAAGGTGCCTGTACATTTATTGAGCACATACTATTTGTTGGTCCTGCAATAAGTACAGCACGACGACTGTATTGAAATAAATTAAGAAAGGGTTCTGGAGCTTATGTTTTCAGGGAGTGGGGCTTGGCGTGGCAGGAGTCGGTAGCGATGGTGGATATTCCCGGTAGAAGCAGCAGGTCCCTGCTCAAAAGCCATGGGAGAGTGGGTGGCTTAGCCTACGAGGGCTCGTGGAAGGGCAGCTCGGTGAGATGGGAGGAAGCGCTGGAATCGACGTTCAGGTCCAGTCCTGTTATTAGCCCCGTGACTTTGGCCAAGTTACTGAACCTCTGTGAACATTCACAGTTGAAAAAGAGTCTGTTAAAGATACTCACCTGCCGGAGTTCCTGTGCGATGGACTGACAGTGTGTAACCGAACACGCGCTTTGCTAGGAAGGTAAGCAATACCGAAGCAGAGGTCACAAGCCCGGAGCGCGGAGGCGTGGGCTTCCTCTCCGGGCATGCGCGCTGGGCCCGCGGCGCGGCCCGTCAGGCACTGCGGTAGGCACCCTGGGGGCTGGCAGGACCCTGACCCCAAGATGGCGGCGCCCTGCGAAGTGGCCGCGGCAACCTCCGGCGAAAGTGATGGCGGGGGTGGGGGTTTTGGATCCTGGCTGGACGGACGGTTGGAGGCGCTGGGAGTGGACCAAGCCGTTTACGGTTCCTACATCCTTGGTGTCCTGCAGGAGGAGGAGGAAGAAGAGAAGTTGGACGCTCTGCAGGGTATCCTGTCTGCTTTTCTGGTGAGTAGCCCGGATCCATCCTTCAGCCTTAGGCCGGCATCGGAGGATCCCAGTCAGTACTTCGCATCCCGCTACCCCTACCCGGCGTAACGAAGGCTTAGTGGTGTCACCTGGGAGAAGTACATTTCTAGCTCTACGCTACGGATGAAGGAGATTGCTCCTAAACCAGGTTTTGGGAAGCTTGAAGGTTGCAGGTGCTTCGAGAGGAAAGTCTTTCCCTTATTCCTGGGAACGAGGCCCTCTCGGATGCCTGTGGGTAAGTTGCAGAATGTTCTTAGGAAGGCGCTGGGATGTCTAAAATGAGAGTTTTAGCTAAAACGTCTACAAACCAATTCCATTCCCATCCATTTAGTGTTGAGAGTGGAGAATAAAATGTTCTTGGGATGTTTGTTTACCCTGGGAGCAGTACCTAGGGCTGTCCCATGACAAAAGCCTGCAGGAAATCTCCTCTCAGGTTCTTTCGGAGTAGGAGGCCAAAAAAGGTAACCTCGTGCTAAGGATCTTTTCATGGCAGGTGGAACTGAAGCAAATGTTGTGCTTGAATCTTTACAATATTTAGAAATTAAGTAATCGGGGTGTGTGTGTGTGTGTGTGTGTGGGGGGGGAGTGATTAGAAAAAAATTAAAAAGATAAAAGTTTGTATTTAGACTCTTAGAAGCAAATTGATTCAGAAATGTTTACTTTAAACTTTTTACCTGTAGTAAATGATTAAAATGTCCACTTTTCCAATCTGATCATTCTGCCTTATCCCCATTTCTCTCACCTCCAGCACACAATTCTTAGATGACGACTCTAGAGTAGATTGGCTACAAGTGCTGTCTGGCTGTCCATCAGATTTTTTTAAAATACAACAATCTCAAGACTGCGGTTGTAGCTCAGTGGAAGAGGGCTTGCCTAATGTGTGTTTGATCCTCAAGACCACATAAAAACAAGTAAAATAAGTGTATAAAAAGTACAATAACATTATTTAAAAAATAAAACCGGGATGCTCAATATTCACCTCTTTTAAAAAAATAAGATAAAATACAACAATCTCAAAGATAAAATTTATTTGTGTCATCACTAAATACTATATGTAGACACTAGAGTTGTCTCTGCATTCATGGTTTAGAAGAGATGTTGGAAATTGGACTACTACTGTGAAAGCTGCCAGTTCATCAAAAGCATTATTTTTTTCTTGGTAAGTGCTTAAGTTTGTACAGGTTTGTAGAATGAATTCATTTGTTATTTATTTATTTTTTTTTAGATGTTGATGGACCTTTATTTTATTAATTTATTTATATGCGATGCTGAGAATTGAAGCCAGTGCCTCACACATGCTAGGCAAGCACTCTACCACTGAGCCACAACCCCAACCCATTATTTGCTATTCCTTTTTTTTTTTTTATTTTTAAAATATTTTTTTAGTTGTAGATGGACACAATACCTTTATTTTATTTGTTTATTTTTTTGTGGTGCTGGGGATTGAACCCTCACCCATGCTAAGCAAGCACTGTGCTCTGAGCCATAACCCTGGCCCCCCTCATTTGCAAATCTTCAAGCCAATTTTAAACAGGGACTGTTTAAAAAGTGAATAAGGATAAGCATGCTGACACACGCTTGCAATCCCAGCTGCTGAGAGGACTAGGGTGAGAAGATTGTAAAATAGAAAGAGGCCAGGCTCCACAATTTAGTAAGTCACTGTCTTAAAAACAAAAAGGGGGCTGGATGGCTCAGCTGTAGAGTGCTCGCCTCGAATAAGTGGGACTTGGGTTTGATTCTCAGCACCACATAAAAAGTAAAGACATTGTGTTGTGTCCATCTACACCTAAAAAAAAAAAAGGCTAGGAGTGTAGCTCAGTAGTAAATCCATGGGTTCAATCCCCAGCACTACACACACAGACCAAAAAAACAAAACAAAACAACAACAACAAAAAAACAAACCAGAATCAAAAGATACTATGAAAATATAGATAGAAATATGTATATATGTATTTTATAGAGAAGTATAGAAGGCAGGAAACATTTTTTTCAAATACAAGAGTATTTTTGGAGGTGGCACATGCAAGGAAAAAATGACTTATACTTGATGGAAGTGCAGTTCATTCTTTGGCACATGGTTGAAATATAACAATAGTGTAGGTATCCCAGATCCCTCTGGCAAGAACCTCTTTGAGTCCCAGAACCTGCTCGGGCAAGATTGGCCCATAAAGGGGAAAGCTATAGATAGCACAATTTGTAAGGCAGCTTGGTAGTTCAGTGGAAATTCAATGTAGTGTTTTTTGTTTTGTTTTGTTTTGAGGGGAGGGGGTTCTGGGGATTGAACCTGGGATTGATTTACCACTGAGCTACCTTTTTATTTTTTGATACAGGGTCTCACTAAGTTGCTGATTGTTAGTAAGAACTTGACATAGACAACGCTATTTTGAAACACATCCTCCCTTTCAGAATAAGAGTCACCCCAGACAATATTCCATCATCATAGAAAGGAACCCCAAACAATATTTCATCATCATACAAAGAAAGGAAATTGTTATCTGGGATTAATATCCTGAAAAATATCAGGTTTGACAGGAACAGTGACCACCTCAAAGATAAGAGTTGAGGACCACAAGGACCCTTCCCTGGAAACCCCCTAGCAACAGCCTAACCCCCAAAATTCCCCCACTCCCTCATACCCCTACATCTATCCAAGGCTATAAATGGAAGATGAGTCTCAGTCTCCACTGGGCCCCCCTCCACAGGTTTGTCCCAAATAAACCTGTTTTACTATTGAGCTGCCTTTCCTTTCTATTTCCTTCATTTAGTTCTTTCTTTATGCTGAGGGCCTCACTAATCTGTTGAGGCTGGTTTTGAACTTGTACTCCTCCTGTCTTCGCCTCCTGAGTCACTGGGATTATTGGTGTGTTCCACCATGCCTGGCTGAATACATTCTTTTCTTATACCCTGACATTGCAGATTATAGGGGAAAAAGAACAAAGACAAGGAATTTTTGTTTTTGTGTGTGCTGGGGATTGAACCCACGGCCTTGTGCATGCAAGGAAAGCACTCTACCAACTGAGCTATATTCGCAGCCCAGAATTTTCATTTTTATTTCCAACTGAGAAATTTCTAACGACTCCATGAAAATGTTGTTAAAATAACTTGGGCTGGGCATGGTGGCATATGCCTGTAATCCCAGCAGCTCAGGAGGCAGAGGCAAGAGGATCTCAAGTTCAAAGCCAGCCTCAGCAATTTAACAAGACCCTAAGCAACTTAGTGAGACCCTGTCTCAAAATAAAAAATAAAAAGGGCTGGAGATGTGGCTCAGTGGTTGAGCGCCCCTGGGTTCAATCCCCAGTACAGCGCCCCCTTTTCCCCCAAAACAAAAAACTTTGGTACTTCTTTGCACTAGCTCCTTAACCAGCCCTTTTCATGGTGTCATTATTTGAAGCTATGGCTCTATTGGTAAAGGGAAACGTGTTTGCCTCATACTTTTTGACTTTTTTAGCAGACACTTGATAGAAAAGGCAAAGTAATTTAGAAACAGAGTTGGTTCTTTGTGTTTCTATGTTGTTGCATAAGCTGCGAAAAAAAAAAATTTCCCCCCATTTCTTGTTATTGAACCAGCATTGCACACATTAGGCAAACACTCTACCACTAAGCTACATATCCAGCCCAACAAAATCATTTTTAAGGTTGACTTCATTGCCCTGTCCAATTCACATACTAGTTTAATTTTCTTCTATATAGAAACTGACTCTGGGAAGAATAGACCAGGAATCATAAAGTGAGACAAGGTTCTTGTCCATAAAACATGAGGAGCATCTTTACAGAACAAAAAGAGCCAAGAAATATGGTTTGTATTAAGCATATAATTCAAAGTGCTGCTGTCAGTCAGTCAGTCTGGCAGCATATAGTGCCAAAGGTCCCTGACTTTTGTGTTACATTTCTTTCTAGGAAAAACAAAAACCAGGGCCAAACCAAGTTGCCAAATTGGGCTAGGATTCAATATTAGAAATGATGAAATTTGTTAGCAATAATTTGAGGTAAGATTCAAGAATAGTGGGCTGGGGATAGCTCAGTTGGTAGAGTGCTTACCTTGAATGCACAAAGCCCTGGGTTTGATCCCCAGGGCCAGTAAATAAATAAGTAAAAAGTAAATAAATCCAAGAATAATGACAGAGGAAGTAACAATAAATAAAAGCTTTCTATCATCTTTTCTTTTATTCTACCCAGTAGTACTTGCACTGATTGATTGATTGGTTCATCATATTTTTATTGATGGATTACTGTATGCCAGGTACTACCATTACTACAAAAGAGAAATTTCTACCCTTCTGGGGTTATAATCTAGAAGGAAAAAGTTTTCCCAGTAAATTATAGTGCAATGTTAGAAAACTGATAAGTGCTAGGGAAAAGGGGGCATTTTAAGAAGATCAGAGGTGCAATAGAGGGTAGGTTACAATTTTATGTAGGATAGTTAGGGGGTTATGTTTTATGGCAACTGTTTATATACCAGCCTCCTAAATTGTGTATGAAATCAGGCGCTATTTTTCATTCATTTCCTGGTTCACATTTTAGTGTGTTGAACAAAGCAGGCACTTTCTGAATGAATAAATGAAAGAATGGATAATTGAACTGCTTTGGTTTAGGTGAGGAAACAGGGAATAAACCAGTTTGTCCTCCAAGAATATCCTTTTTATTTGGCTCTCCACTTCTTTTCTAATCCTTTTTTCTTTCCCTGTTCCTTTGCTTTCCCTGCTGGAAGGTCTATGAATTATGGAAGCTCTGACCCAAAGAAGTTTCTGTGTGTCTAGCTCATGCAGTAATGGTATAGGAAAGAATCCTTTGTTGATACAAAACAAGGATATCACAATTAGTCTTGTTCTAACTTTTTTTCTTTAGGATAGCATAATACAGTGGTAAAGAGTATGGGCTCTTAGCCAGATTCCTTGGGTTCAAGTCCTGTTTATTATTTATATTTTTGGGGGGTGCCAGGGATTGAACTCAGGGACCCTCTACCACTGAGCCACATTCCCAGCCTTATTTTGTATTTTATTTAGAGACAGTCTCACTGAGTTGTTTAGCACCTCGCTTTTTGTTGAGGCTGGCTTCGAACCCAAGATCCTCCTGCTCAGCCTCCTGAGCTGCTGGGATTACAGGCGTGCGCCACCATGCCCAGCTTATTATTATTATTATTATCTTTATTTTGGTACTAGGGATTAAACCAGGGGCACTCAACCACTGAGCCACATCTCCAGCCCTTTTTTATGTTTTATTTAGAGACAGATTTTTGCCAAGTTTCTTAGGGCCTCACTAAGTTTCTGAGGCTGGTTTTGAACTTGTGATCCTCTTCCCTCATCCTCCCAAGTCACTGGGATTATAGGCATGTGCATCCACCTTAAGTCCTCTTTAATCCATTATTACTTGTATGACCTTGAGCAAGTTACTTAACCTCTGTACTTTGGTTTCCTCATATATAAATTGAATAACAGTAGTAATACTTTATGTAATTGTTTTTTTTCTTAACATTTATTTTTTAGTTGTAGGTGGACACAATACCTTTATTTTATCTTTATGTGGTGCTGAGGATTGAACCCAGTGCCTCACACATGCTAGGCGAGCATTCTTCCTCTGAGCCACAACCCCAGCTCCTACGTAATTGTTTTAAAACTTGAGAATTCTTTTTTTTTTTTTTTTTTAACTTGGAATCTAACTCAGGGGCAGTTTACCACTGAGCTACATTCCCAACCTTTTTATTTTTTGAGACAGAATCTCACTAAGTTGCTTAGGTCCTTGCTAAGTTACCGAGAGGCTGTCCTTGAACTTTTGATCCTCCTGTCTCTGCCTCCTAAGCTGCTGGGATTCAGGCATGTGTCACTTTACCCAGATGCAAATTGAGGTTTTTTGTTTTTGTTTTTGTTTTTTTTTGGGGGGGGAGGATACTAGAGATTGAACCCAGGGGCCCACAACCACTGAGCCACATCCCCAACCACATTTTTTTTTTCTATTTTGAGACTGTCTTGCTTAGTTGCTTAGGGCCTAAGTTACTGAGTCTGGTCTTGAGCCTGTGATCCTCCTGTTTCAAGTCTCCTAAATCTCTTGGATTACAGTTGTGCACCCCCACAACACCTGGTGAATTGAGAATTTTTATGTAAAGTTTTTAGTACAGTACCTAGCAGATGGGGTAAACACCTAATAAATGTGAACTCTGATACCTTGCCCTGTGAAGTAGAACAGGAAGCTGGTGAAGGCAGACACAATGAACATGGAGAGAATGTTTTATATATATATATATATATAAAATTTATTTTTAGTTTTAGATGGACACAATACCTTTACTTTATTTACTTTTATGTGGTGCTAAGGATTAAACCCAGTGCCTCACACATGCTAGGCAAGTGCTCTACCACTGAGCTACAACCACAGTCCCAAGAATGCCCATATTTTTGAATGCCTATGCTTTGCCAAGTAGAGTAGGCTCTGTATGCACATTTTTATTTATCCTCACTAAAATCCTGGGAAGATGTGAAGTTCAGAAAGTTTTGCTCATAAGCCAGGCAGGGTAGTGCAGGCCTGTAATCCCAGCTACTTGGAAGGTTGCAGACAAGTGAATCACAGGTTTTAGGCCTGTGATTTAGCAAATTCGTATCTCAAAAAAAAGGTTTAGGGATGTTCCTCAGTGGTAAAGCATTCCTTAGTTCAGTTTTTTTCTGAACCAGACCTAAAGAAACTTGCTCATAGATCTGGAATTCAATCCCTGGTATCAAAAAAAAATTAATAATAAAAGATAAGGAGAGCCGGGCACGGAGGTGCACATCTGTAATCCCAGCAGCTCTGGAGGCTGAAGCAGGAGGATCTTGAGTTCAAAGCCAGCCTCAGCAACTTCGAGGTGCTAAGCAACTCAGTGAGACCCTGTCTCTAAATAAAATACAAAATAGGGCTGGGGATGTGGTTCAATAATTAAGTGCCCCTGGGTTCAATCCCTGGTACCCCGCCAAAAAAAAAAAAAAAAAGTAAGGAGAGAGTGGGGAAGGGAAAAGGGGAGATGCTGATGACAAGTAGAAAATTTCACTGAGACAAGAAATAAGCTTTAATGAGCTGTGGCACAGAATGGTGAATAAAATAATAATGTATTTCAGAATTGCTGAGAGTAAATTTTAAATGTTTTCACTATAAGAAACTGACAAATATGTAAGATTATGAACCTGTTAGTTTCATAGTATCATGCCCAATGTAAACATATATCAAAACATCATATTGTATAACATTTTTTAAAATTAATTAATGAATTTATTGTTTTGAGGATGAGGACTGCCCTGAGCTGGTAGGAATCTTTTACCCTGGAGCTTGGCAGGATGGAGTAGGTGCTCTTGTCTAGCAGGTGTGGATTTTTGGGACAAACGCACCGAATTCCTTCTGTGCCCATAGAGACATATTCTGTGGCTCCCAAAACCTTCCCAGGATCTCTTCTCAACTCTGGCAGGGAGAGCTGTGCCCCCTGCATAGGCCTTTTTAAGATTGCTGTTGTTTTTGAGAACTCTCTCAGAAAATTAATCAATCTACTTTTGCAACTAGGAAGAAGATTCGCTCCTTAATATCTGCAAGGAGATTGTGGAACGATGGTCTGAAACTCAGAATGTTGTCACCAAAGTGGAAAAAGAAGGTAGAGTTGGCGTTTCTGTGTGGCATTTTGGTTTGTGACCTCAAGGGTCCTTTCTAAAAGCCTTACTGTACAGCTCTTTGGGAGAGAGTGTTTCATTTTCTCCTTTGGATTCTCATTCTTCCTGAGATGATTTATACTGGCGAACACTTGAGAAGCCGGATTTCCTTTTCCTTTTGCATTTGTCCATTTAGCCTGACCACAGTTACCTTCATTGTGGTTTTTGCTTTCCTTTCATCCTCTCTCCACAGCACATATGGGTATATATTTTTCTCACCTCCCATCTTTTTTATGTTCTCTTTTCATAACACAAATTATGGTTGGGATTTTGGTTTATTCAGCTAAATCATTTACCCTTTAAAATGTAAAATAAATGTGCTAATATTTTAATTAGTTGCAGAAAACTCAATTTATAAAAATCAAACTTGAGAAGAATCTAAACTACATCCTTGGGGGCTGGGGTCGTGGCTCAGTAGTAGAGCGATTGCCTAACATGTATGACGCACTGGGTTCGATTCTCAGCGCCACATATAAATAAATGAACAAAATAAAGGTCCATCAACGTCTAAAAAAAAGTGTTTAATAAATAAACAGATAAATAAATAAATAAATACTTCACCCTTGGTTTTCAGTTTTTCCTGTACATTAGAATCACTTGATATACTAGGGTTGGACTCCAGGTATTGGTGTTTTTAAAAAACTCCTCTAGAAGGTTCTAATGTACAGCCAGGGGTGAGAGCCCCTACTTTGCACCATTGCTTCCTTTCCTTCAGGATGGAGAACTTAGTAGTTGATCTTATTTTAAAATAAGGCAAAATATTTTTAGTTCAAGCATTGTACTTGGCACAATTATAAAATTGAAAGGGATCAGCCTTAGTTGATTCTGGAGTCTTTCTTAGGTTTCTGGAATAAGAGAAGAGAAAATTGCCTGTTTAGAAGAAGCTTGTCTATGCTTCTAATGCAGTGGTTTTCCACCTTTTTTTTTTAAGCAGCCGAATCAACGTATAAATCAAATAAAATCAGGGCTGCTGTGATTGAAGATGGATGTAAGACCTAAAGCCTGGCCTGCGTGGCCTTTCCTTTCCTGTCTCACATGCCCCTGAGGCATGTTCTTTGAACCCTAGGACCTTTGAGTCAGCAGCTGCCAGTGTCTTTTACAAGCACTGCCCTGGTGAGCTGGTGGTTGGGTGAGCTTGTTTTCTGTCATACAAACGTGTTTTCCCTCTCTTCTGCCTCCCAGATGAGGTACAGGCCATTGCCACCCTCATTGAGAAGCAGGCACAGATTGTGGTGAAGCCCAGGATGGTGTCGGAAGAGGAAAAACAGAGAAAAGCTGCCCTGCTGGCCCAGTATGCTGATGTAACAGATGAAGAGGAATATCCTTTCTGGAATCTCAGCACCATTCCCTGAGGGTGACACCAGAAGTATTGACGGTTTACAGTGCTCTTTAGGAAATTGTTAATCACCCGCCATAGTTTAATTTTCTTCTCTAAAATGGCAAAGATCTATGGCCCTTGATGGATATGAGAAATGAGTTGGAATAGTTGATACTGGAGATAAATATGTACTTTGGTGCTAAGGAATGAACCCAGGACCTCATGCATGTTAAGCATGTACTCTATCACTGAGCTACACTCTCTGCCTAGACTTTTATTTTCAGAAGTACATTTCTGAAAACTCAGTGTAAATAATGCCTTAGTGAACCAGTATGTTGTGCTTTCAGAAAAGAAGATATAGCTGTGATTCCTTATATTTGCATGTACGTGTGTACTGTCACATGTATAACCCATCTTTCTTTTCTTTTCCAGTCAGTAAAGACACTGATAACACTAAGATGATGAGTGATCACAGGCATTCAGAAAATCAGTGGCAAAATCAGGACTAGAACCTGGATGTCTTTGGGTGAAGGATATCCTAACTTAGGAGCCATTTAATTCAAATCTTTTTAATGTGACCATAGTTAAAAGTAAAGCCGAATCCCTAAACACTACCAAAATAAATTAGAATCTGAGTGTGGGAACTGTACAAAAAGAAAGTAGTGTAAGTAGGGGCAGATTTAGTTCCCTGTAAATTTGAAATTTATTTAGGAAATGCTTAGCTTACAGAGCCTACTTGAATGAAGTATGTGGCTCATTATACAATAGACATCCTCCCAGAAATATCAGCTGGCTAATCACTATTTAGGAAAGAATACTTGGGTGCTTTGGAGACAGTTTCTCTTATGCTTTTTCCTCACAACTTTTCTTACTAGGGTTAGCAGAGTATGGTTCCAATGATAAATAAAATCTCAGTTCTTGGGTTAGAATAGAACTTTATTTTTTTCCCCCATTGGAAAAAAAAAAACTTTTAAGCTGGGTACAATGGTTCATGCCTGTGATCTCAGTGACATAGGAGGCTGAAGCAGGAGGATGTCAAGTCTCAAAAAATAAAAAGGGCTGGAGAGGTAGTTCAGTGGGAAGTGCCCCTCGGTTAAATCCCCAGTACTGCCCCCCCCCCCCCCCCCACCCCATCCCTACCCCCGCCAAATAGGGCTGGGGATATAGCACATGAGTAAAGCACTTCTGGGTTAAATCCCTGGTTCCCTCCACCAAAAAAATAAAAAGAACTTTTAAAGCATTGATTCCCCTGGAGAATGTGTTATCACATGAATTTCTGGGCTTTATACTCCCTCCCCAGAGTTTCTGATTAAGTTGGTTCAGATTGGAGCCCAAGAATTTCTAATAAGTTCCCAGGAGGCAATAGCCCTTTGAGAACTATTGTTTTAGAGGTCATTTCATTGTCTCCTGGCTTTCAGATAATGTGACAGTCACCCAGATCAACTTAAGTTTCTTTTTCGCCTCCAAGAAAAAGAAGGTGCTGTGGAAGGTGCCATACGCCCGTAATCCCATTAACTCAGGAGGCTGAGACAGGAGGATCTTAAGTCCAAGGTCAGCCTCAGCAATTTGGTAAGAACCTATTTCAAAATAAAATAAAAAGGGATGGAGATGTAGTTCAGTGATTCAGTGTCCCTGGGTTAAATCCCCAGTCAAAAAAAAAAAAAAAAAAAAAGAATTGTAAGAGAAGCTTAGAACAATCTTCCTCTTCCTAAATTGAGATTTCCAAAGATGAATCTCTGGGGTTTACTATCACATTCCGGACAAACGTCCTTTTTCCATTCAGACAGCTTTTCCTCTCCACCAATCTACAGAGTATTTTTAAATACTGAGTTGGGATGTGTGAACCTTTGTTTTCCATCCAGTTTTCCTTAACATCACTTACTGAAGCAGATGAGAAGGATGATTCAGGTGCCACCACGATGAACATTGGTTCAGATAAATGTATCCTTCTTTGTGTTTCTCCATGGAATTCTCTTGGGCATCAATTTTTATTTTGTCATTGCTAGTACTTCCCGTTACCTGCAGGAACTCATGCCAGCATTGGGAGTACAGATGGTCAATTTATCAAGCATATTCCTCAAAGAAAAAAGTTAACAAGTACTGTTTTCTTTCTTTTTTTAAAAATTTTATTTTTAGTTGTAGATGGACACAAAACCTTTTATTTTTATGTGGTGCTGAGGATCGAATCCAGTGCCTCACATGTGCTAAGCAAGTGCTTTACCACTGAGCCACAGCCCCAGCAAGAAGAATTTCTAAGGAAAAATGAACATCTGTACTCCCTGTGTGCAGCTCTGGGTTGCCTACCATTATGGAAATAATTAAAATAATATTGAAGTTTTGTGTTTATTCTCAAAAACTTTATAATTTCTTGGAAAGAGAACAGACTGAATACTAATAATATAAACATATTGAAACATGTGTTGAGAAAGGTTCTGACCAACAGAATCATTTCCTAGAGAAGATGGGTTTAGAAATATACCTTAAGCCAGGTGGGTGATGCACACTTGTAATCTTAGCAACTCAGGAGGCTGAGACAGGAGGACCGAAAGTTTGAGGCTAGCCTTAGCAACTCAGATAGGCTGGGTGTGCTTATAATCAGTGGCTTGGGAGGCTAAGGCAGGAGGATCACAAGTTCAAAGCCAGCCTTAGTAACTTAGCAGGGCCCTAAGCAACTTAATGAGAGCTTATCCCAAATTATAAAACCAGCTGGGGATGTGGGAATGGTGCCTGCTTTCAATCCCCTGTACCCCCCTGCCTTCCAACCAAAAAAGATAAAAAAGGACTGGAGATGTAGCTGAGAGATAGAGTGCCCTTGGGTTCAATCCCCAATACCCGTCCTCCAAAAAAAAAAAAAATCTACTTTAAGCTGGGTGTGGTGGTACTTGCCTGTAATTACAGCTACTCTGGAGATTGAGACAGGAGGATCACAAACTTGAGGCTAGAATGGACAATTTTTAGTGAAACCCTGCCTCAAAATAAAATTTTGAAAAAGGGATGGGGAGGCTGGGGATGTAGCTTAGTGGTAGAGTGCAGAGTGGTAGGTAGCACACAGAAGCCCTGCATTCAGTCTCTAATGCCATAAAAAAGAATGTGACCTCCCCCCCCCCCCAAAAAAAAAGGGGCAGGGGCATGTAATTGGGGATATAATTTGGTGGTAGAATACCACTGCATTCAATTTCCCAATACCACACACACACACAGAAAATTTACTTATTTCGTAGTGGGAATTGAACCCAGGAGCACTTAACCACTGAGCCCCATCCACAGCCCTTTTTTATATTTTACTTTGAGATAGGGTCTCACTGAGTTGCTTAGGGCCACGCTAAATTGCCAAGACTGGCTTTGAACTCGTGATCCTCCTGCCTCAGCCTCCCAAACTGCTGGGATTACAGGCATGCACTAGAGGGCCTGGCTGAAAATTCATGATGAAGATATGATGCCAGGTACCTTGGCGCATGCCTGTAATCCCAGTCACAGGGGAGGCTGAGATGGGAGGATCGCAAATTCTGAGCCAGCCTCGGTAAAAGTGAGGCACTAAGCAACTCAGTAAGACCCTGTCTCTAAATAAAATACAAAAATAGGGCTGGGGATGTGGTTCATTGCTTGAGTGCCGCTTAGTTCAATCTCCAGTACCTCCCCACTCCAAAAAAAATGAAGGGTTTGGTATAGATTGTCAGAGAAGGGGAAGTTAATTCAGAGAGACCCATTTATTTTTGGTGCTGGGGATTAAACCCAGTGATCTATTACTGAGCCGTACTCTCAGCTTGAGACTCATTTGTTTTAAAGCACTAAAGAAAAAAAGTCATATTTTAAGAGTGGAGAGAAGCTTGTCTAATATTAACAGGTTTTGTTTTCAAAGTTAATAAGTAGTATAGTTTTTGGCCAGTTATTTTCTGTTAAACATTTTATATTTCTTGTAATTCAGAGTTGATGGTTATTAGAATATGGATTTCACTTAAGCTTTAGTGGCCTAGGGAAAAAAATCAAATTGATAAAATTTAGTAAGGTTAAACCTTTTAACTCTTTTCAAGCATTTTAAAGTACATAAACATTTTCCAGTTAAATAATGTTCTCCTCACTAACCCTAGATACTCTGCAGTGTTCTGCTATTAAGTACCTATTCCTAGGCTGGGGTTGTGGCTGAGTGGTAAAGCACTTGCCTAGCACGTGTGAGGCACTGGGTTTGAGCCTCAGCACATAAAAATAAAGGTGTTGTGTCCATCTACAACTACCTATTCCTGAATGAGCATTCACTTTTTTTTGTGTGTGGTGCTGGGGATTGAACCCATGGCCTTGTGTATAGGCAAGCACTGTAACTGAACCATATCCCCAGCTCTTGAGCTCTGATAAATATTTAAAAATTCAGATACTGAATGAGATTTTTTTTCTGAGGACATTTTAATTTTAGATCTTCTATAATTAATGATAGCTTTAGGATTTCCACTAGACCAAGGATAAACACAAGGATGGTTTTGTTTTGGTACTGGGGATTGAACTCAGAGGCACTGAACCACATCCCCAGCCCTAATTTGTAATTTATTTAGTCCCTCACCATCGCTGAGGCTGGCTTTGAACTCACAATCCTGCCGTCTCAGCCTCCCTAATCGATGGGACTACAGGAGTGCATCACCATGCGACACACAAGGGTGGTTTTTTAAGACTAGGAATAGATAAAGGCATTCAGGACTCAGCAAGAATGAGGAAAGTTGTAGTTGTGACCTGTACCTTTATCCCTTAACTCACCTGTAGCTCTGTTTCGAAACACCAATGTAGAAGATGTCCTCAATGCTCGGAAATTGGAGAGAGACTCACTTCGGGATGAGTCCCAAAGGAAGAAGGAACAGGACAAGCTGCAGAGGGAGAGAGACAAACTAGCCAAGCAGGAGCGCAAGGAAAAGGAAAAGAAAAGGACACAGAGAGGGGAGCGAAAGCGATAACCCTGGCCTGTTCAATTCTTCCCCTGCTTCAAGAACTTGATGAAAAGGAAAACTGGCTTTGCAAATGTGTATTTAAGAGAAATGAGAAAACATTGCATAGTTCTTTCCCAAGGCATTTCCCTTTTGTTTACATGGTCAAAAGGAAAATCACAATCACTTTTAATTACAAAAATGTGCCATGTTTTGCTGATGTGGATGATCAGATAATTATAGTTAATGTCTGTACCAAAGAGCTGCAATTGGGGCAGTCTTTATATTTTAATACTGAAGTTCTGTGCTCCTTTTGGCTCCTTTTTTTATAAAATGTCTTCCCTCACCTAATTTTCCTTGAATAAATAGTAGGATTCAGAAAGCTAACAGTTAGGGTTTTCATCTGGGAGAAGAAACATGACCGTTCCTCTGAGATGAAAAGTGCAAGTGTAAATTACTTCAGAGGTAATATTTACTCCTAAGTGTAGATAGTTTTATGGCTGATATATAAAGCTAATCAGGAAGCTAGGTGGTGTGGTACACACCTGTAATTCCAGCTCCTGGGGAGGCTGAGGCAGGAGGATCACAAGTTTGAGGACAGCTTGGGCAAATTAGACCAGTCTCAAAAAAAAAAAAAAAGGCCTAGAGACTCACCGCTGGCTTCAATCCCCAGTGCTTCCAAAAAGAAAAACTAATGAAAAACCCTACTTGGATTGGATTTTATGTTACATGACAGAAAACTAAGAAAGTGGGAAGAAATTATTAGGAGTGTTTTTAAGATCTGAGATCTTTTTTAAAGAAAATTTCAACTGATGGGATAAAAAAGTATCTTTAAGATAGTTAAATATTTTTCTTCATATAGGCTGTGACATTAAGAAGGATGGGTCAATATTGAGTTCAACATTATCATTGTTAAGCTAGATTCATTTTTTTTATAATCATGAATTCTCTTGAATGCCAGTAGAAATTTTAACCCCAATTTTCCCTAAAACATGAATATTAAGACCTGGTAACTCCTGATTAGAGAAACTGGAGGAATTGCCCTTTTAAAGAAACACTGGAAATCTTGCTAATATAAAAAATACTTAAAGAGTGTACATAGTAGGTGCTTAACAAATTTATTGAATGAATGAATGGGAAAATTGCCTGGGAGAGTCAAAAGTGAGCAAGAACTCTCCATTTCTACCTTTTTCACAAGCCACATTCAATTATAAATAAGGCTCTTCTCTACTTGACTTCAGGCAATAGTAGACCGTAGAGAAGCCTAAAGAGCATTTTTCTCTCATAAGACAAAGTAGATATTTTATACCACGAGTCAGCAAACTACCAACTGCAGGGCAAATTTGGCCATCTTTTTTTGTATGGTACAAACTAAAAATGGTTTTTACATTTTCAAGAGGCTATAAGATAAAGAACACATGATAAAACCTGAATTATTTACTGTCTAGCCCTTTCAAGAAAGTTTGCTGACCTTTGTTTTATATCATTAACTATGAGATTAACAAAAACTTTTATCTTTGTGCAGAAGGTTGAAGATAAAAAGCATGGTTAAGGAAAAGGAAATTATGTTACCTCTTCATAAAGTCCTCTAACCATGGCATTGCAAAAATAACGACATTTTTTAAAAAATAAACTTTATTTAAGTCACCATCTTCTGTCTTATTCTGATTCTTTCCAGCTACCCATGGAAATGAACTCTGTCATTTTATCCATGGATTTGTGAAGGGTACTTGTTTTAATTTAATAGTTCTTTCTTCTGGGACTCTTATGTATGTTACAGTTAAGTGTACATTCTAATGCTTAAAACCGAAAAAAAAAAAAAAATTAGTTCAGTAGGTTTTGAGAAATGTTATCCACTTAACTTGGGTGCTAATAAATCCTTTACATCTAAGTCTAAAATGATTGATATCACAAAGGGAAAATTTAAACAACCATATCTTTTAGGGTAAAATTGAATTTTAGGTCACATTTGGGATTTTAGTCATTACATTCCTAACCCTCCAAAATGTTATAGTAGCAAATTATTCAAGCAGGAAGAATACTGATACAATAATTGAAGGTAATTTCATATTCCTTTTTTAAAAAAATTCTTTTATATTTTTCTTTGTTGATGGACCTTTATTTTATTCATTCATTTATATGCGGTGCCAAGAATTGAACCCAGTGCCTCACACATGCTAGGCGAGCGCTCTACCACTGAGCCCAATCCCAGCCCCTAATTCCTTTATATAAACTTCTTCCATTAAAAAATAAGTATACCAAATTCCTTTGGCTTATAAATGGTGGGAATATCATCTTTACAGATCACTTCAAATTTTGTAATTGATATTTAGAAATGCAATGAATAAGAACCATCCATTAGAGGGTATACAATTGAAAGGGACAATATAAGAATTACCTACTAGGTGACTTATGATTTAGCAAAATTTCAAAGAAATACTTTTCAAGTGTTTTGTAATGGACCGGGGTATATTTCTCTGACCACTGTCATTTTTATTCTGGTTTGCCTGGATTAATGGGCAGAGTAAAAGTTTATATTTGAAGGGTCAGGTGAGATCCAACTATATGAGTGGGAGTAATCTACCAACATTATTACATACATGTTAAATGAGAACTTAAGTTCTTATCAGTTAAATGAAATTCAGTTGTTTTCTGACATGAATAACTGTGTATGTAGTATGTTAATTGAACCTGGGGCCCTTTACTACTGAGTTACATCCACAGCCCTTAAAATTTTATTTTGAGACAAGAGTCTAAATTGTTAACCTTGTTATTTTCCTGCTTTGGCCTCCTGGACAGTTGGGATTATAGGTGTGTGCCACTGTGCTCAATTTGGCATGAGTAACTTTTTTTTTTTTTAGTACTGGTAATCGAACTCAGGGTCACTTAACCACTAAGCCACATCCCAAGCCCTTTTTTTGTTTCAAGACAGGGTCTCACTACATCTGTAGGGCCTCCATAAGTCACTGAGGTTAGTATCAAACTTGCAATCCTCCTGTCTCAGTCTCCTGAGCTGCTGGGAATACAGGAGTGAGCCACAGGGCCTAGCAACATAAGCAACTCTTAAGGTTAATAACTAATACAAATGTAAAAAAAAAAGAAACCAAATATTTTCAACAAAGTAATTTATTTCTTCCTGAGAGACTAAATTCAGTACAATATTTGTTTTCAGAACATCCAACATGTCTTAATGTCAAACTTAACCACTTTCTGTGCAGTGACTGTGGTGGGGTGATCTGTTTTATTTTACTGCCTTCAATGTAATTGATTTGGGTAGTTCTAAGGCATATCAGTGATCAAAATGTTTCTCCCTACAGTTACTCCTGCATTCTCAATCAGTTTCTTCCGCACATCATCTAAAGAAAATTTATGTGGTGTGATTACACTCTTTTTTTTTTTTTTAAAATATCAGGATTTCTAAAACTAAGGAAAACACCAACATTTAAAACATCAGTATTTCTAGTCAAGGATATAATCAATTAAATTTCATCAGTACATTATATTATAGTTTAACTCATGTAGAAATGTTAAAACCCAAGATCTCCTGAGTCACATAATACCAACAATTCATATTAATGAATAAATTACTTGGGTTCCATATAAAGATATTAAGTGATGAGAAACAGAAAAAGCCAACCTTTCAAGTGCTCTTTTTTAAAAAAATACAGAAGCAAACTAAAGAACACAACTACACAAAATATACACTAACCAACTGCAAACTAAACTAGTTAAAGATTAACCTTAAAAAAATACATTTTAGAACTTCGTGATACCCTCATAAAAGACAGCAAACTAAGGGTATTAAAACAATAGTCATTATTTTAGTTACTGTGCATCAAGTCTAAAAGATCCAGATAAAGGAAATGTTTTGTTTTGATTCAATTTAAATACTTTAAAATTGGAAATATTTAATAATTGATAGTAAAATTAAATTTTAAAGAATATACACAAATGATTTGAACAGGTTTTATATTCAGTAACTTGCATGGTTTTTACACTGGCACTTTTATCACTAATTTAGGAGAATCAGATGCATTTCCCTCCATATAGACACTTAAGATTTCAAATTTATAAATATGGTAGTTATTTTAAATTTACATGAATATTGGGTTTGTCCTTGTTTTCCTTTGTTTCCTAGGTATTATCCAGTTTTGTAAGGAAAACACTTTTATATCACAATCAAAACTTGTCTTGGTTACTAGACTGTATCCTTAATTGGGTTACAGTCATTTAAAGATTCATTATTTGGAATTATACTAAGGCAGAACTAAATGAAACTTATCTCCTAGAAGAATTTCATATTTGCATTTACCTGCACTGCAGAATGGGATTAAGCAATATTTTAGCTGTTAAGAAATATTTTACTTAAATAAACTTATCTTTGACTACTCAGAACTCCTAGAGTAGTCAACTTTACCTTTGAATTTTCCTTAAACTGTATTCTCATTCATTCCAAGTAGTTTTTTAAATAGAAGTTAGACTTCATTAAGGTATTAACTTTAAATCTGAAAGAAAATTAACGTACTGAAAGTTTGACAAGTTCATTAAAAATTTTAGCATGTCTTGATACATTTACTTATCAGCTTTTTAATTCTTCCTTCTGCTGGCATTTCCTTAATGTTTGTTTGTTTCACCTCTCTGGTTCATTGGATTGCTACTATTTATGCTTTCATGAACTTTTTCTTCACAGTTTACTATATCTTGGAAAGCCTTTTCCACATCTGCTTGACCAGCCGTACTTGCTGTTTTTGGCAAGGTCATCTGCAGTGCGCACCATAGAGTAGTGCGTGCTTTCCGAGTAGCCACACACATCTCTTTAATTGCTGAAGCAAGGGCAAAAACATCTGTAAAAGAAAATAGTCATTTCATATTAGATAGCATTTAAATATCCCTTAACTCTTTTTTTTTTTTTTTTTAACGGTACTGGAAATTGAATCCAGGGGCACTCTACCACTGAGATACATCCCCAGCCCTTTTTATTTTTGGAGGACAGGGTCTCACTAAGTTGCTCAGGGCCTTACTAAAATTGCTGAGGCTGGTCTTGAGCCTACCATTCTCCTGCCTTAGCCTCCCAGGTCCCTGGGATTACAGGTATGTGCCACTATGCCAGGCTTCAAGCATTACTTTTATAAAAAGAAGGATGGCTATTAATTGTGCTAACTAAAGCACTCCGTTTTTAAAATATTAAAAAGTATTGTTAAATTTCTTTCTGGCTTGTGCTACAATGACTATGCTCTGGGTAAAACAGATTATCTGAAGACAGGTATTACAATTCAATGGATAAAATTATACTAGAAGATACTACTTTTGGAATAAATAAGTGTGGAGGTCATTTACCACTCCCCTTTTCTTTCAGTAATGGAACCCAGGGGCGTTCCACCACTGAATTACATCCTTGGCCCTTTTCATTCCTTTTTTTGAGATAAGGTTTCACAAAATTGCTGAGCCTGGTCTTGAACTTGCAATCCTCCTGTCTTAGCCTCCCAAGTAGCTGGAATAACAAGTGTGTGCCATTGAGCCCAGCCCCAATTTGTTCTTTAGATAAGTGTTAATTTTAGAAATCCAACCTTTTAATCCCAGAATCTGGTTTTATTAACATTGAAATTATCAC